TCCAGAACATAGGACACACACAAGAAACTTGAGGGAAAGAATTATCATACATGAAGAGGAGGGGCCTGGGCTTAGGACTGAGGAAGCATCTAGTAGAAAAATTGGGGTCGATCTGGGGGACAACTCAAGAGGGTCTGACTCAGCAATGCCTAGTTCTAGACAGTGCACTACAACCACTTAAATCCCTCCTGTCCCTGACAGTGAGGATTTGTCTTGAGCATTCACTGAATCAGTAGGTGGATATAATATGTAATAATTACTATATGTTTTATATTTAAATTATACATTTAAATTATATATAATGTATATAATAATTGCTATATACATATGCAATTATTATATTGTATTCCTCTATGTGCAGGTGAGAAATGGAGGATTAAGAAGGACATCTGCTAATAAAAAAAAGACAAAAAAAAAAAAGAAGGATATCTGCTTCTAAAGACCTTGCAGTTAGGGTCTATCAGTACCAGGACTACCCCTGGGTCTTCTGGTTCTGAGGCAAATGTTCTTTACATTCTGCCATACTCACTGAAGACATGTATGAGCTGATGGTAAAACCTGTAGGTAGAAATCCCAGAAGCAACATAACAAAGACCTGCCTCTGAGCAGTGCTTTTGCAGACATTTTGCAATCAACTCTTCCTACAGCACTACAGTTGATATTATTGTTTTCATTTTACAGATGAGAGGCCTAGGAAAGTTAAGTATTTTTCTTCAAGATCAGAGAACAGACTGGGTGCTGCATGCCAGTTGTTGCATAAAACAATCATGTGGGGAATATATCTTCCCTTCCTGGGGCTCTTACAATGTTTTGGAGGATACTTTCTTAGAACACCTAGAAGGGTAGTTGAACAATCCATCAGGCATTATTAAAGTGGAAGGACCTCAAGTTCTAGTGGGTGAAGTACTAGAGACCCTTTTCTTAAACTTTATTTTATTTATTTATTTTTTTATGTGATGCTGAGGGTTGAACTCAGTGCTTCACAAGTGCTAGGCAAGCACTCTACCACTGAGCCACAACCCCAGCCCATAGAGACTCTTAACTTATGAAAATTCCAAGATGAAGCTGATTTCCAAAGAGATTCAAAACAAGAAAACATGTAAGCAACATTTGGGATCTGATTGGAATTCTGAGCCTGGTTCTCTACATTTAGAAATAGAAAAGTAAAGAGAATTTTTAGTAAAAAAAAAAACAACAACATACTTTTGGGCATTATTTGTTCTGTTTAATTAGGCTCTTGGCTAATACAAACAAGATTTTAATTATTCTAAATGAAAAGCTTTGAAGAGATTTTAATGCAGAACAAAATCATCACCTTGCTTCAAGTATAAACCAGGAAGTTCGTGGAGACTCTTTGAATTAGAACCATAGAATTTGAGATCTAGAGGGGTCCTTCAGATCCTGTCTAGTCCATGCTTCCCTCCTCTTTTTCTGAAGGTGAAGAAATAAGGTTCTGAGGCATGAAGTGGCTTTACCAAAGTCATCCATCTGGTTTGGACCACTCCTTAGTGCTTGCCTAAAGAATAGGTCTTCTGCACTCTTTACCCAGACCTCTCTCTGTTCTCCACCTCGTGATGTTCTGTTGTCTTCTGGCTGGAAAAGCTCACTAATAAGAACTTTCCAGGATGACTTAAGTTATTTTCATTGGAGACAATCAAGAACATAAAAAAAATTTCAAGTGTAAGAATAAAAAACATTACCTAAAATCTGACATGAATTATTTTATGATGATTCACTCAGAATAGCCACATCATGTGATGCCTTCATTGACATGAATAAGCAAGAATTGACAATAGTTAACTTGTGCTACCTCATCATCCAGTCAAAGTCCATGGACTTTTGAAATTATACTTCGTTGTTAATTCAAAATGTCTTTGAACTTCACTTTCCTCACTACAAATTGAAGAGAATAAAATTTCCCTTCATTGTATTGAATGAAGATGAAATAACGGATGTACCAGGACCTAGCCTAATACCTGGCCTATATTTCACATAGAATAAATGTCACTTTTTTATTATTTTAGAATTTGCTACTTCTTTAAATGCATCCTCTGAATAAACATCTGCTATCCCTGTGTTGTGTGCAGAGGATAAAGAAGTGAATGATAGCCATAATATCTGCATTCAACGAGAATTTTTTATGGGAAATATTCACATTAAGCAGTTTTAATTGAATGTTATGAATAATTAGGTAAGAAAATTCAGGGTGCTAAAACAGGACAAAGGAGGAGGGCTAGTTTGGGGGATCAAGCAAGACCTCTGTGGTGGTAGTATCTAATTTAAATCCTAAAGGATGCATAAGACTTACCCAAATGAGAGGGAGAAAACAGAGAAGGGAAGTAACAATCATTTCAAACTAAGGGAGCGAGTGAGTGTGCAAATACTGAAGGGAAAGTGTTTAAGACATGTAAAGTGAGGGGGAGAGTGGCAATTAGTGCAGCTGTAGAGGTAGACTGGGGAATATATCATCAGGGGCTCATAAGCCATGGAATGATTTTGAGAATTAATTTCAAGGGCATTGGAGAATCATTGGAGAGCCTCATGAGTTTCGGTGACAAGTTTTATCATTAAAATTAGGAGTCTATAAATATTAGCTCCCTGGAAAGGTGTAGAGAAAGTTCACTACTCTAAAACCGGGACAGGATTGTTTTAGGAGGTGCCTTCCTTTTGTTCATGGAATTCAGGGATGTCTTTCTGATGCAAAGTGGCAAGAAATTAGCCACTGTGCTCCACCACTAGAGGAAGCTAGCGGTCTTCCATGGCCATATAATTTTCTGTTGGCCCATTGTCTAATGACAACATGGTGGCACTGGCAGTTGGCTCAACATTTTGGCCATTTTCCAGGGACAAGGCCATTATGGCAGTTGGTGGTTGGTAAATTCAGCCCCTGCTCTCTGTGCCCAGCCATATGTCCAGACGCTAGTGGCAGTCCTAGGCCTGGAGCCTCCAGCCAGCTCAGAACAAAGGCTTAGTCTGAAAGGCCTCTCCCCGTCACCATCGCAATCACTTGAGCATTTATGCTCAAAACAGCGCTCTTACAGGAAAACGTTTGTGTTGCTCTGGAATGTGAAGGAAGGTTCATGGTTTTTAAAATTCATGAATTGCGTGGAATGGAACGTTCCTTTTCTGAGTAAGGGAAGAAACAGAGAGGCTGTGTCTTAATGACACCCAAGCTATGGGTCATCTTAGGCAGGAAAAACCTAGTTAAACTAATGATTTGGCATGGTATGGACCCCTTTCCCTCCAATCTCAAGAAAAGGTTGCGATTTTTTTTCCCCATCTCTTTTCATTAGATTCACTTTAAAGTACTTAGTCTTTGGCAATCAAGAAACTCAGTATTTTTTCTTTACTATTCGAAATTATTTGAAAACAATCATTTAGGATGGAAATATGATCAAAGAAAAATCTATTGAAAAGACTCAGGTGACTTGATTTGTTCTGGTTGGTTTAAATACACCTTTGAGAACAGATAGACCCGTGGAGAATTGTGGGGTTGGTCTTTACTCATCCTGTTGCCCCTTTCATGTTCTTTCCTGCCTTCTTGAGCCCTTTATTTTTCTGTTTTCAGGGTGCCCAAACTTAGAATCTGAGTTTGAAACAAAGAAGTTTGGTTAAATTAATTTTAATAAACTCCAATGTCTGAGCATAGGAACACCCACCACATGCTCTAACTTCTTGACCCCGTAGGGTAGGGATGGGGGAATATTGCATTTTAAAAGATTTTGATAGCCCAACTGAATGGTGACATTTTAATTACTTAATAAAGGAAGTATAATGTGAAAATTTTTCACTATATGGTGAGGAAAAAAAATGCTTTGGTAGTTGATGGAGTGGGGTCATTTGGAACAGGGCTTCTTAACACCACAAGTGGGTAGTCATCTATGATACTTTTTTCTGGAGTCTTAAATTGTGTCCAACCATGTGAATGAGTCAGGGTGATAAAATGCAACATGAGGTTTTTCAGTATGTTTGATGTATTCTTTCTCATTCAGCATATGATATTTCTCATAGGCTTATGCCATCTCCTCTCTATTCCAACACCTGCCCCTCCCCACCCATAACATTTAGCAGCTTCTCTGTGAAGACCAGAACTGCTGTTTGGTGATACTGATTGGGAAAGACAAACCCAATACAGGACCCTCTAAAGAGGGAAATTGCTCTTGTAAAGACACTGTCTTGAAAAAGCATGGAATTTCTTCATAACTTAAAGATATCCCATTTCTTTTTCTCCAAAATGGAAATCCCCTTACATTCTTTTTTATTATTTTCAAAGCAGTACATATCAGCATAAAGACATAAAATATGAGTGGAGTATAATAGAAAAAAAATATAAAAGAAAATGAAACAATTCCATGATTTCATCTTTTGAAAATAATCAATGTTAAAGTATTAACATTTTGGAACATAATATGTGAGATATTTTTCTTTGCATAAACACACGTTTTTAATATAGAAATGAAGAAATACTGCACTATGGTTATTATTTTGTAATCTAATTTTATTTACATATTGTAAATATCATTTATAATATCATTTTAATTATTAGCATACAGTTTCTCTACTGAAAATACTACAATTTATTTAAGCAATTTAACCAATTTTCTTTTAATAGAACTGTTCACAGTTTAAATGGCCAAACGTCATGGTCTGAGACTTGTGCTTACCCAAGATACACCAGACACTATCTCTGAAGAAGAAATTTGCAGTGGGAACAAAGGAAGACAGAGAATTGGGATATGACTGACTGTCCTGTTTGGTAAGAGTTCTTTAGTAGATTCAGAAATGTCTTAAGATCAAACAAGATTGATCAAGTGTTTCTACCCTTAAAATGACAGCTTTAAATATTCCAAGCAGGTTTCAGCCAAATTTAATCTAGAAAGGCATATTTTATAACTTGGCCATTCATTTTACATAAATGATGTTTATTTTTAATAGTTAATTGATAAGTCTCTGTAGGGATTCTATGCAGCCTATTGTTGAACCAAGGTCACCAAAGGTAAGTTGAGGCCAAGGGTTGTGGACTCTAAAATGCTCTTTTTGTAATATTGAACTAGGGGTCCTGTCCTGCTCTCTCATAATTGGGAATACTGCTGGAACCTAGCATGAAGAGTTACGGCAAGTAGTTGTAACCCAATTTATTGACCTCACTGCATCCAGTACTAAACTGGTACTTCAGGTTAGTGAATGATGGTTATGTATTTACCTATATGTATTTTCCAAACAGAAGAATTAAAGGACATTTCTTTGGGTAGAACTAAGATAAGAATAGAAAACCATTATCCTTAGAAATGTTGCTGAGTGCCCATTTGTTAAGGATGTGATAGAGGTGAAGAGAATTCAGTTCTGGATTAAACAAGGCAGAAGAAGCTAATGGTTAAGGTTCCTTTCAATGTTAACCACTCAGATACTAGGAAACATGTCTTAGGACTCTTAGCACTGCAATGCATATACACTTTCTATTCCAAAATCTGTGTTTAATTTATAAATACCTTAAATATGTTTGAGGAAGTTTAATGACTTTATTTTTTAAACTAAATTAATTTTGATCATTTGTGCCTTAACATTTCCCAGTTTCCTTGTGTTTAAATAACCAAGTTACCTAAAGCCAAGTTTGGTTATTAATGATTGTTGATTACTGATCCCTTGTAGTCTTGGTTGTTTCCTAGATCATGACTGTCTCTTGGGATTAAGACAGATTTCTAATTTATAGGATAAATAATGTATTGATGCCTACTTCTTTCCTCTCATTTGTCCTCTATTTTCCTTTTCTCTCTTTTCACTTTCTCTCTTTCTTCCATTTCTGAATTACCAGTACAGTTATCCCTCCATTGCCATGGGCTCCACATCTGTGAATTCAACCAACCACAGATCTGAAATATTTGAAAACAAGATACCATCTGAACTGAAAGCGTACGGACTTGTTTTCCTGTCACTATTTTCTAAACAACATGGTATAATAATTATTTACATTATATTTACTTTATATTAGGTATTATAAGTAATGATAATTTAAAGTAGAGAAGGATGTGCATAGGTTATATGCAATTACTATCCCATTCTCATCTTTGAGCATTACTTAGGAGCCCCAACATGTTTTTGATAACAAGAATAATGCCCAGATATTGCCTCTATGAGGTAAGATCCTTCTCCCGTTGGAGTCGCTGATGGTGGCAAACACATGACCATGAGCAACTTTGAGGGAAATCCATCATAAAATCTCTGTTTTTGAGTGTTTGAAAAATAAGCTGCTGCTATAGGATTTTAATAAGACTGGCCCCATGCCGAGATGGAAAGCATGTGGTCATCAACTCCAAAGGGAGCCTCAGCTGAGAGGGCTCATTTGGGGGATGAAAATTGTCTTCCTGTTTTCTTACTACATCAATGATGCAGCAATTTCTTTGATAATTTCCAGTTGTGCACAAGCCAGTCAGCAGAAAAATTAGGGTTTCCTTTTTTCCTAGCTGAAAGAATAGCCTTTCAAAAGAAAGGGAAAAAAGAAAAAGAAAAAAGAAAAAATCCATAGCAAACACACATTTAGCTCCCTCTCCCCTTGCGCTGGTTTTGGGGAAAAGAGAGTACATTTATAAAAAAAAAAAAATGGCCTGTCTTAGGTTTTAACAGTTGCCTCTCAAGGCATGTATAGCATTAGAGGGGGAACCGATGGGCACCCTTTAGTGATTTGATATTGTGTAAGTAAATGTATTCCCCTTCAGTGACCATTCATCTCTTGCTTGCTTGTGCTTTATAAGCTAGACAAGAGGATATCAGTTGATCATTGGAATTTCACTTAGATTTTTCTCATTAAACTGCTTGCACATTTTATTTCTTTTGGATGGGGAAAAGAGTGATAACATTCCAAACTTGCAAAAACAAAATAAAAACTTCAAAGAGTATAAGAATCTTCCCTTTACCATCAGGAAAGGAACTTCAAATTAGGCTGTAGATTTTCTACTGATGTGTAACCGAATTTAGGGTTTTAAGATGTAATAAAATCATCATGTTACGGCAAGGTCAGGAAATGTGGTAAGGAGCCTTCACTGATTTTGGATGCCAACTCTTCCCATTATGTTTGCAGGTTCAGAACAAGGTCAAGCCTGGACAGCTTATGGAGTAGCTAGGATAGGAATGTGAGGATCTGGAAGCTTGGGTTTCTACTTAAAATCTATCCCAGCATTGAGCTTAGCCCAGCCTTGTAAATCTAAATCTCCTTCCCTGTAGAATCTTGCCAACATTAGAAAGTGAAAGGGAAAGGGACCCATCCTAAAGTCGATTTGTTTATGAGAACGGTTCTTTTCTTAGGTTGGCTTCCCTAAGATTGGGTGCTGAAGGAGTGAGGGAAGCAGGATTGGTCAGGAGTTGTTGAACTGTGATGAAGTTGCAAGAGAGGTTTCAGCGGATGCCAAGAAAATACTGGAACTAGGATGACCTGTCCATCAGAGAAGTTCTTTCTTAAGTCAGAGGGGTCAGGTCTTGCTGCTTTGCTGCACCCACTGGTAACTATTTGAGGGCTCCCAAAGGGTGGGGTGACAATGCTCTCTTTTGCAGAGAGCAATTCCCAAAGATAAAGAGTTGGGTTCTGTCAGTAGTAGCAGCTCAGGAGTGAGTACTTCAGCCCTAAGGCAGGTACTGAAGATGTTCTTCAACATTTAACAACTGTGCTGAGTTTCACTTGGCTCTTGATTGACATTGTAAAGTGAGACCTCCATCAGAAAGAAAATATCAAAACTAGGATAAAGGCATTGGGACAACATAAGGTCGAGGCATTTAGAGATTGGCCATCAGAAGTTCCTGTATTTCTTCTTGCCTTGTGCCTCCATAACAGTCAGTCAGCTCATCTGCCTCTGTAGAGCCTTTCCTCAAACAAGTTAAGATGGCCTTTTACAGAACTCTTCATAGCATCTGTGCTTCAGCATAGCTTTCTGTGTCAGTAAAAGTCAACATAACCCAATTTTAACAACCTTGGTTTTGAAATAAAACAGGCATTGATTCAAATCCCAGCTCTGACACGTGATACCTGTGTGGTCCTGAGCAAAGGACTTAACATCCCTCAACTTTGGTTTTTTTTTCGATTATAAGATAGAGCCAATAATATCAACCCCCAGGAGTGAAGATGAAGAATAAACTGGTATGGTAAATGCAAAGGGCCTAAGGTGTGCCACCAGTTATTATTTGAATTACAGCAATTTTTGTATTACTAATAATATTTCTATTAGCATTCTCGACCATCAATCACAGCTGTCTGAGCTGGTGGGTTTGGATTTTCCAGGTGCAGGATGAGGTGGAGTTTGGCTGAGAGCATGATGAGCTCTCTGGGATGGATCCTGTTCTAATAACAGCCCAGTGCAGCTAGTCACGTGCTCCTTTGTCGTGGCTCCTGTTAACACACGAGGTCATCCTGAGACACAGAGTGCTCTGATGTTAAACGGTATAAAAGCCAGAGGTGGGTCAGTCGATTAGGTGATGCTTTTAGTCTTTCTAAGCTTGCTGCTGCCTCAGGAGTCAACAGCACATTTTGCATAAAGCAAGTGCCCTTCTGGAGTATAGACAGCAGAGGGAAGTGATGAATTCACTAGAAAGGGAATGTCATAGGTGGGCTTCAAGTTTTGTAAATTGATGTGATTCTGCAATTTGTATACGGGGTAAAAATGGGAGTTCATAACCCACTTGAATCAAAGTGTGAAATACGATATGTCGAGAACTATGTAATGTTTTGAACAACCAACAATAAAAAAAAAAGAAAAAAAAATTTTACAAATCCTGATATTCCTTTAAGATGCTTAAAATACATTATATGTAAATAAATTTATGTGTATATAAATGAATAACTTATAAATACATAAAACAAAGGTATATATGATATATAAATATAAATAAATACATAAATCAAACATATGTATATATATTCAACATTCATCTCAGCATGGAACAAATAAAGAATACATATATTGATGTCTGATTTTACTTAACATCAAGATTAATTATTTTTCAAGGTAAATATTGACTAAAGTGGAGACCAGGGCAGTGTGTACCTCTCAGTTCAATAATTCTTGATGTTAACTTCAGCAGAAATCAATGTCTGCTTATTGTACTCCTAAGAGCCAAAGCAGGCAACTCTACCATTTTAAATATATTTTAGTTCTAAAATTAAATCAAAATCTGTCTTGGATCTCGTGAGTACTAAGTATTCCTGAGTTCTTTCTACAAAATGTTAAATAAAACATTTATTGGGTCTGTTGCCCCTGACACAGATCAGAAGACTCCACAGACGAGAAGGAATCATTTTAAAGTGGTAAAAGGTGAACCACAACTACTCGAAGGTGTTATCCAGAAAGATTTTAGCCTGGAGTTTCATTACAATAGAAATAACAATCAGATGTGGGGAATAAGAAAGCTAGTAGAATGAACAGACATTATTATTTCATGTATGTATGTGACTGCATGACCAATGTGATTCTACAACATGTATACTCAGAAAAATGAGAAATTATATCCCATCTATGTATGATATATCAAAGTATATAAGTGCATTCTACTGTCATGTATAGCTAATTAAAACAAATAAAAAATTTTAAAAAAAGAAATAACAATCAGGAGTTTGTCTGTCCAGCTGTTTGCCATGGAGAAAGAAAAGAAAAGCAACTGTTTCTAACTGGCAGCAATTCCAAAAGTAGTTTGGGTGAATCCACAGGTCAAAGCAAAAAAGGAAAGAGAAAAGGTCTGATGAGCCAAGAACCAGCTCCAGCCATTGTAGCAATGGAGCCAGGAAGGGGTTGTGAAACAGGAGTTCACTGGAAGATCTACATGTATTTGTCTCTGTGTGTTCACAGCCATTTCTTGGCATACCACAAAAACTGTAGCAATTGACTTAATTGGAAGGAGCCACTTTCAACAGACCAAAATGAGGTAATATAACCTTCCTTTCATGAAATATACAAATGTCTGTCTTTACAGACTGCCATAGTTGGACCAGTTGGGAATGTCAAGGACAGCACTAGTAAGGAATACTAAGGACTAAGGGACCCAGCTATCCTTTGAACCATAGCCAGGCTAGAGGGTTCGGAGTGGAGAAGTGGAAGCAGCAGCCGTGCAGATTGACCACATTGAGTTTTAGATGACTGTTACTAAAATGTTATATATTAGAGGAGGGTATTAGTCTGTTTTGTGTTGCTATAATATGGGTACTGATAAAGAAAATAGGATTTTTTTTTTTTTTTTTAGCTCAAAGTCCTGGAAGTTTAAGAACATGGCACTGGCATCCTAGCAAGGGCTCTCTGACTACATCACAACATGGTGGAAAAGCAGAAAGGGAAATAAATGGCTACACACAGAAGGGCCAAGTGCATGGGGTGGCCTCACTTTATAACAACCAGCTCTTGATAGTGCTAATTCACTCCCAAAGACAGCATTAATCCTTCTCAGGGGTGGTCCCCTAGGACCTATTTACATGTACTAGGCCCCACTTCTTAAAGTTTCCATTATCTCAACACTGCTACACTGGAGACCAAACTTCCAGCACATGAACCTTTAGGGGACACACTCAACCATATCCAAATGATAGCAGGAGTATTTTCCATGCCAATTTCATCTGTTCACTTTATTGGATAGTCTATGTGAATGTCAGAGTGTAACCTACACAGGAGTGTCTTTTCCTGCAGAAACATTTTAGAATGACTATTTTACTGCATGAAGTGTATCAGGACCACATGAATGGGATTCACAGAGTGGAAAATTTCCTATTTGAATGAGTAGACTATAAGGACTTCAAAGCCAAGGCTTTCTTTTGGTTAGTGATATATCCCTAGAACCTAGAAGAATTTTGGCACATGATAGAGACACAAAAATATGTTTGAGGAATGAAGTAGGTAATATTTCATAACCTGTAGCATCAATGACAATTATGCTACCAACAATTCCACTAACAAACTAGAGAATTTGACTTGACAGTGAGCACTTCATTAAATATCTTGTAAAGATATTTAGCACATTACTTGGTATGTGATACTTATTGCATGAACAGGTGAACTTTTTATTAGTCTAGATTTCTTTTTATTACAGAAATAATACTTGGTCATGTGGGGGGAATCAAACATTTTTTAAAAGTGTATACAACAAAAAGTAGAAGTTCTTGTTACTCTACCATTCCCACTACTATTTACAAATTATGTGTCCTTCTAGAACATTTACACACACACACACACACACACACACACACAGAGTTATACATATACATAAATAAACACAAATGAGATTCTGCTGTTCTGTCCTTGTCCTTTTCCTATCTTGGGCCTTTTATCAGATCATATAGATCTGTCTCATTTAAAAAAAAACACAAAGGCATAATACCTATAGAACTCTATCATGTTAATGTGGCATGACTTATTTAATCATCTTTTAGTGGTGGAGATTTGCATTGTTCTGAGTCCTTTGCCATTTTTAACAATTAGCAAACATCTTCATCAGGCTTCAGAGGCATCATTGACATAGACTTAATGGAAATGGTGCCTCCTGGCAGGTGCAACACAGCAGTCCTGACCCTTATGCCTGGTACTTTGCTCCATGTCCAAGTATTTCTGCAGTATAAATTCCTAGAAGACTATTTGCTGGAGCAAAGACTATGTTCAATAGTCTTCAATAGCAAAGACTATGTTAAATAGATATAAATTTTCATATCTAATCCCTGAAAAGTTGAATGATGTTAACATGAATCAATTAATCATCTGAGGCACTTTCTAAAGAAATAGAACTAATAGAAGAGATAGATAGATAGATAGATAGATAGATAGATAGATAGATAGATAGATAGATAATATAAGGAATTGGCTTGCACGATTCTGGAGTATGAAAAGTCCAATATCTTCAGTCAGCAAGTAGAGACCCAGGAGAGCCTATAATGTAATCCAAGCTGAATCCAGAGGCCTGAGGACTAGGGAGCTGATAGTATGACGTCTAGCCCAAGTCCAAATCCAAAGGCAAGAGAAGACCATTGTGATTTCCCAGACTGAAGATGGATAAAGAGAGGGAATTTTTCCTTACTCAGCATTCTCATAAATTGGATTGCCCTCCCCATATTGGGAAGGGCAATCTACTCTACTCAGTCTCTTGATTCAAATATTCATTTCTCTCAGAAACACCCTATTACACGTATCCAGAAAAATCTTTATTTAATCATCTGGGTATCTGTGGCCTAGCCAAATTGATACAAAATTAACATAAAATTAACAATCCCACAGTTATTCCTCAAAGATTTTAGATGAGAACAGATGCTACTCTTTTTTGAGGGGGGGGTGGGGTTTGCCAGAGATTGAACTCAGGGACACCCCTGGGATTACAGGCGTGTGCTACTGCGCCTGGTTCACTCATTTTTTGAATGCAAATTGGGACTAAAGCAGGACTTTTATTTCTGTCCTATTATATAAATAAAATCACTGATATGTACTGATATTCCATGATATGTACATGCTAGATTTCATTTTTAGGTTCTTGGTCTTTGGAAGCTAAAAGATTCAGTGCGAGCAAATATACTCCACCTTTTGAAATACTCATTATGCCAAGCCCAGCTGCTGGCATAATGCCTCTCCTTTGGAAGTCTGATTTAAACTTCCTTTCACGTGTGTGATCTTGCAAACACTGGTGGGCAGTTTACATCCAAAGGGCTTTGGGTTCAAACCCTTAGAGACTTCCTAACTAATGTTTCTCCACTTTGGGTTCATCAACAAATTCCACATTCGTCCTTGATGACTTTTACTGCCCTAATAGTCATCTACTTGCATTTGTAAATGAAACAAGTTGCCTTTGATCACATTCTTTGCAAAGTCTGCTGCACTCTGTTGCATCTGCCTTGTTCCCTTTGTCTTTTAAAAACAGTAGCTGCACTAGAGACAGCTTGACCTTACCGTGAGAAATAACATTTTATCATGAAACTTGGCAGAGCCTTCAATTTCCTCCCATCTAATATCTGTCAGTCATTCCCATTGTCCAGGAAACATTTTCTCCACTCTCCATGTGAAAGTTGTTATCTCTGGTAGCAGATACAACTTCTCTGGAGCCAGATCATCCTCATCCCACGGTTCAATCATGTTGCATGACTGGATCTCTGTGGAAAACCAATTGTGTTCTTTAAAGTGTGGCCGGAAAGTTAGCAATGCAATATAAAGACACTGAGTCCCCTGCACGTACCATTAAGTTACTCTCCACTCTCCCTAAATTGTGTGCCAGTCTCTCTGCCCCTGTGGCTGAACCCAGTGGGCATAAAATAGAGGCTGAATTGAAAGAGTTACCTTATTATATTGCTGAACTAATAGGAATGTTAGGCTTTGTATAATTATAATCTTTCACCATAAGGACAAAATAGTCAAATCCCAGAGAGTTGACTTGGATTGAGTTGGCCAGGATCACCCAGCTCATTAGTGTTAGAGTTATAGCTGGAGAGCACATTTTTTTAAATTAACTAATTTTGCTGAAGTGCAATTTGCATATCATAAAGTGCATAAAACTCAAGTGCCCAGCTGATACATCAAATCTCTATATGTATATAAATATAACCAACGTACACCAATCAAGATACAGGAAGAACATTTCATTGCCCTCACAAATTCTTCGTATATCCTTTTCTCAATGGAAATCATGTCTTTGATCCCTGATCCAGTTTTTTGGTCACCATTCACCTTTTACTAATGTATATATAGGTTCATTATTGGTGAGGAGCCAGTGGCCAGAAATAGGATATCTGAATTCTCATTCCAGTTCTTGCTCAATTAACTACATGGCATTAGGTAAACAGATTCACACAGTCAGTATCTCTAGCTATTATAGGATGGGGTATGAATAGAGGACCAGATGGTAAGGTGATAAAGCTTGCCTTTTGTTCCTCCTATCCCTCTGTTCTGAAACCCTTCTTATACCTCCTGGGCTATGAGAACCTGTTAGTGCTGCCTAGTTCTCACTTCATTCTCTATCTGTTCTTGGCATAGGAAGGGATCATTACAAAATAAACTGAGTGGTCTCTTTTTTTGGAGGTGGTAGGGATAGAAGCCAGGTGATATAGCACTGTATTAGGCAAAGAATCAAAGCACCGGGGATTGAACTCAGGGGCACTCTACCACTGAGCTACACCCCCAACCCTTTTTTGTATTTTATTTAGAGACAGGGTGTCACTGAGTTGCTTAGAGCCTTGCTGTAGCTGAGACTGGCTTTGAACTCATTGTCCTCCTGCTTCAGCCCACCCCCACACCACCACCGCCCCGGCAGCTGCTGGGATTACAGGCATGCTCCACCATCTGAGAAATCTCTTTTAAGTCAAGGTATAAGAATTTTTTTTTCCTGGAAGTGCTTATTCAATAGTCATAGTGACAACTATAGTCCATTGGGTATCTACAATGTACCAGGAATGTGTTTAGGACACCATATACTTTACCTAAATGAGCCTTCCCTGCCTTACAGGGGGCAGGTAAGTTTGTTGTGTGTTAAGAAAGGACAATCTGAG